CCCCAAAACCCCAAAACCCCATGAAGTTAAGTTAACATTTCTTAATCCAATTATACATTAAGAAAATATAACATAATGCTTAATCATAATAATTAAATTGATAATTTTTACTTTCAAGCAAATAAAAACTGATATTGCCACATTTTAGAATGAAAAATTCATTCAAAGCAATTAAACTAGTATCTCCCTTATCTCAACAAAATTTGTTTTCAATTAAAGATCATAAAGTTTGGAATACTTTCCTGATTCTTCTCTCTAAGTTCTCGTTTAGATCAGACTATTATTCTTAGTATATAAGTTATACTAAGAGTCAATTACTTTGGTGCTTTAGAGATTCTATAGATTTATCATTGATATCTTTACAGCATCCCTAACAAAAGCCAAAGGCCTCTACATATAATCATAGTCTTACATAGTAAACAGTTAAGGATATTCAGAGAACTAAATAATATTCTTATGATATCTCTTTTTAATATCGTATATTTTCAGGCAGTTTTTTTAATTATCATTATTATAAGCAATTGTATTTGAGTTAACTCTAATAATTGATGAAATATATGATTCTTTGATAATTATTCGTTTGTCTTAGATCAATTTAATATTGTAATCACCTTTCTTCACAAATTTGCAAGAGACTATACCTTCAAACATATAGCCAATTACAAAAGTATATTAGCTTTGTTCTTTTTTAAGCAAGCACATTACTTCAATAAAATTATATTAATAAATTTGAAATGTTTAAGAGTATTGTTAATTTGAAATACTCAATAGCTGAATCCAACCATTTTCTAGTCCACATATAAAAATATCATCATTAAGCTTAATTATCTTTTAGATAAAACTTTTAGTTTAGTAGACATCTTTATCAACTTTTAAAATATTATTTTCTTATAACCTAATCAAACTAATATTATTTTAAAATGCAAGTATTAATGCATTATTTAATTTTTGTAGTATTGATGATTTTATGTCTAAGAGTTTACCTTATTCAAGATTTTTATCAATAACTCGGCATTGCTAACCTAATAGTGATTTAGCAGTAAATATCTAATCATTATAAATCTCAAATTTGTTAAACATTTACTCATTTTCAAATTCCTCCTTATATGACTTAAGGACCTGATAATTGGGTAAATTATTATTTGAAACTAATTCCTCAATTCTCTATCCCTTGATTAAATTATCATTTTAAAATATTTTATTATCATGTAAAGATCCTTGTAACTATACCATTTTTAAAGTTGAATAATCTATTTCAAAATCATTAACGATTTTTTAAGATTCTAAATCATTCTACTAATCCAATAAATCTGAGATGAAATTTTATGCATTAGCTTTGTTAATCT